TACAAGGTGTACATAATAATAACCATTGCGCATAATAATAACCATTGCGCATAATAATAACCATTGCGCATAATAATAACCGAAGACGTAACAGCCAATGAAATGTTGCCCCCAAAAGACACACTTTTCTAGCATATGGAAACAATCTAACCATACTTACATCAAACCTAATCTGGGCAATTGTGAGCAATCTCTGATTGGTCAACTACTGCGCATCTTCGGGAATGGTTCACTTTGTATTCTTACATCATGCTCGTAACGACCCACTCGTGCCGCTGACTGAGCGACGCTTAGGAGGCGCGCGGCCGGATCATGTAAACACGTGGGCACAAGCACGTGCTCGAGCGTAACGCCAAAACATTCTCAACCGTTCTCAATCGAGACAAGCATATCGGGAGTTGCCGCGTTATTTTTTAGATTATTCCGTGCCGATTTTTAATACCGCGACAATTATGGCGATAATTAAGACAAATTAAGACGCATACTCCTCACGCGAGCAGGTGTTGCGGGCTTTACTGCGACAGGTAATTACCGCGTTTTATTTACCTTTTTACTCGTTAGATAGAGAAACGTCGCGATCGAGTTCCTTTCAATGCCAATTAAATATTATCATCATCCATTTATTATTCAAGTATTATTACTTCCTTATTCGGTTGTCATTTAATTATTTTTATTGCGTATTGGGAAGCAACTCGAGCGTGCCATTACGACAATTTCTTTTCCTCGTTTTGCTGACACGTGTAACTAATTGATGCTAAATTAATAAATTACTAAATTAAATTAAATTTCTGTCACAAAGATCCAATAGAGCAGACGCAGTCACGCGGCTCTAGAGAATGCGATGCCTGGGGGATGCTGTGCAGAAGGATTCGGCTCGGGCCTGTCTGAGTCAGCTCGAAAGTAAGCTTCACTAACTTGCATTTATAATTAGAAATCTGACAAAATTGAAAATTTTTTTGTTTGGAAACGAGTTTCTTAATGTCTCCATCGTCGTGTAACTAATTAATATTCAATTAAGTCTGTTTTTTCGAGTCTGGCAGAGTTGGCGCGAAGGTTTCACTAATTTGAATTCATAATTCCGATAAAACTGAAAATTCTCTTGTTTGAAATCAAGTTCCTTAATGCCTCCATTATCATGTATAATACTAAATTAAATCTGCTTTCTGTTGCAGAGATAAAACAAACGACCAGCCGAATTTTAGGGGCTGCTGCGCCGAAGGATCCGGCTCGAACCGAGCGGGATTAGCTCGAAGGTAAGCTTCACTAACATTTGTAATTAGAAATCCAACGATATTGATAATTTTCTTGCTCGAAATCGAGATAATTTGAATTGAATCAAAGATTACATTAAATCGTAATTACACGCGGGGAAAATTTTTTCTGAGTAACATTCCTACTTAAAAAATTTGATTTGTTCTGATTAAGAGATTTATTTGCAATATCGAGAAAGTGAAATATTCTAAGTGTGAATGCATTCCGAAAAATTATTCCAACGTAAAAAATATTGCGTTTATTTTTTATCCTTCAAACTTCTTCATTCAAATCGTCATCAATGCACGAATTTAATCGGCGAAATGGCATTTTTTCTATTCCAGAAACAAAAGCAAAATGTGGTTACTCTAATCGGCGGTTTGGTAAGTCAAAACAAAAAACATATTGATAATAGAAAGACAAAAAGTCTTTCGATGTAGTGCATGCTTATCAAATCAATGCGATTTACTTTGCTGTAATTGTAGTATGCGTACGTGCCGTCCAATAAAAATCACACTGCTTAAAACAATTGGAAGATCGCTTTTTCAAATAATAATATTAGTAATAATGCATATTTTACATTAATTTGACAAATAAATTTTGAAGTATTTTTCTCCAAATGTACATATATTTATTAATTAATTAACTTAGATTATTAATTGGTCGACGATTGTTATCGAAGAAAATTTTGATAAATCAAACTCCAACACTATCTGATAGATGCTTAAAGTATTGAGTATACGCTTTGAACATTCAACATTCTGTAAAATTATTCAGTTTTATTGAATGCGATCTTCGAACAGTGCACCAACGCGCAAAGAGATTGTGCTAACGCGGAAAGAGATTGCGCCACAGAAAATGCGCAATCACATCACCCGCATCATACATTTTCCGCCGATCGTTAATTTTTACAACTTTCGCGTGAGCTTAAATCGCGATTGCATTTTATAAAATAGAGTTCATGCTTCGTTATTAAGTAAAATTCAATATTGTACGACACCTGTGCGAAGCGATCTAACGTGATTATATAAACTACTTGCAAAATTAATTTCACGATCGTCAGAAAATTTTCAGGTTTCAATTTTTCACCTATAATCAGAATTTCCTAACGCAGGACACAATAGAGACAATGCTAGCGAGCGCTGATCCTTCGCGAAAAACACGATGAACATAAGTCAGACATGCGAGCAGTTCTTCGCTTGTGTGCGCTGCGCCGCACGCACTATAATTACACGTACTCGGTCCCACATGTGGCAGCTCTGAATGAGAGGCGCACACGGACAGGGCACGCACACATGGGAGCTATCCCCTCTACGCGCTGTCAGAGTGCTGCAAATATAACAGAATTAGCACCCCTGCGCTCTTATTGCTTATTGCTTTACAAATGGCGTTTAATCATAAGAAGATATTATTTTAGCGGATTCCTTCTCAATTAGAGAACATGAATCATGACCACTTTCTCTACTCGCGCTCTATCAAGTTCGATCTCTTTATCTCTTACTTCATTATGCCGACATCGTATTAACAGACGTGGAAAGAAGACAAAACGATATGTGGGTAGGAGCAGCGAGGCCACGAAGCACTTACAATTCTATTATTTTAATTATTTTTTTTTTACAACAATAAGAATATAGGATATAAGGAAAAAGGAAAAGATGAAATATAAAAATATAAAAATATAAAAATGTTTATAGAGTATATAAGAAATTTGTAATATATATGTATTACACGTACAACATGTAATCATATATAGTAACATATGTTTCCAACTTTTAAGGATACGATACTGTTCCCTTTCTCCTTAGACAAAATTTAACCAATGAACAGAGAGTAGAAAGAGAAATCCGTGCCCACACATCTAGCTTTTTCTTTCTAAGTCTCTCAACACGAAAGATTAAAGAAGTCTTGCCGAATGCTCCGTCCAGTACTATCGATGCTTGCCTCTGATCAAACAGACGCATAAGTATCATAGACTTAAATAAATAGACCGGCCCTTGGCGTAGGAGATAGCGTGGCAACATCTACGGTGCAGACATAGCCATCTGAGTAGATCTGTCCTTTTCTTTTAATTGCTTGGTGAGGACTAGTAGCGGATGAAACACACATTCGTCATCAATAGATGAAAACAGAATAACGTGTAATAGTATGCATACGGAAAAAAATACACATTAATTAATTTAGTATAACTATTACTTTATTATAATAGACTACTTACTTCATAAAATTTCTCCTCCACAATAAAAGTGCTTTCTTCCTCTCATTCTATGCATTCCCCTCATTTAGTTTCATCCCCACTATTCCTACTTTAGCGTAGGACAAATCTACTCAGATGGCTATGTCTGCACCGTAGATGTTGCCACGCTATCTCCTACGGCAAGGGTCAATCTATCTATATAAGTTTATGATAAGTATACACGGCCGATCTCGCGCCCGTTTGCGCTTGCGCAATTACTTTGCACGAGACACTACCGCTTACATATACGTCCATTAATTTATTTTGCGCGATAATTAGTAGCCACTATATAATGCGTAATAACTGTTATGTGATTTGTAACGTGAAAGAAATACATGGCGTAACAAACGAGATTCTTGGCCTCGCTGAAAGACACACATGGACGCTCGCTTTGACATTCTCCACATTTAATGCATAACGGTACGGAAATAGTCGCGTATATGTAAATAGGTAAAGAGAAGTAAAGAAAAGGTAAAGAGAGTTTAGTGCTCTCCTCTGTCTCTCTCTCCCTGCCCCCTCTCTCTCTCTCTCTCTCTCTCTCTCTCTCTCTCTCTCTCTCTCTCTCTCTCTC